TCACTGGGACCTGTGAAATGTAAGAGTATGTTGTAGGACTGTTCTGGCCTAAATACTCATAGTTTAATGATAGAGAGGGAGTGAAGTGGTGGAGTGTGTCGATGACTTCACTTACGTGAGGAACTGCACCATCCCGAACGGGTTGGTCGCTGACAAAATCTCATCTTGGATACATAAGGCTTGTTTTGCACTTATCATCTTGTGTCACCTGTGGCGCCGACTGACGAAATATTCGACTATCTACCAAAGAGGGAGTATACTGTGCTGCAGTTCATTCTGTCGTGTTGTACGGCTGTTAGACTTGTTGGTTGGAAGTAGAAGATATGTAGCGATTACAGGTGTTTGGTCGCAGATGTCTTCGTAGTATTGCCCACGTTTTGTGTAATCATCGTGTAAGGAGTGTAGAGGTCAAGGGAAGGGTACTAGATAAGACAGGGAATTCGATTGATGAGGTTGTGAACCTTCATCGACTGAGGTTGCTTCGACGTGTGTTGCCCATGCTAAACCACGGCCTACCTCAATGTGCCATGCTAAGATATTTGGATCAGTTTGGAATAGAGTTTATGGTGGCTGGTCCAAGACGTGGCACCAGTCTATAAATTTGCTGACTGTTGGTTTGAGTCGTGTTGGGAAATGTGGACTACTAGGGTCTGGAGTCCATAAGACTGTAGGAATCAGTGATTGAGAACTCTCGGTTACGACTGGAAATCAGTCACAATGACCCAGATATATTCATTCCTTTAAATCTAAAGCTTGAGTATTTGCACTAAGCGTTATCATCAAATTGTTCATTCTCTAACTTCTACTTTCTATCACTGCTTTTCCATCCACTTGTTCTTTGTATACTAATGTGAAGTGTTTCATCTTAAACCGATGCACTAGTGTGCGAGGTTCCGCGTTGATTTTGACCGTTTGTCTGTCTGACTTATGCATGATTGCTGTCCAAGCATATGCTTCGGAAGGGGCCTCAACAGTCCATCTCTTCTCTTTAGCGATAACTAATTGTAACATGGTATGTCTTTGTACACCACCGAGTTGAGGTCTGTGGACACCATGTTAAACTATTTCTGTAAATCTGAAGTTCATGCTGACTGAAAATAGGCGATCCTAGTTATTTTTTCGTCCGACTAGAATTCCAAAAGTGCCACAAAATCTGGCTTTGCTGATCTTGGTATTGCATTAAGTGCCGGCGTAAGGCTTCACTAGTCAAGTAGAATTCCACCAACAGTCGTATACTTGCTGTCAGACTCAAAGGTTCGATCAAAATAAGAAGGGTCTCTCCGTCATCCCTGCCTATATTCCGACTAACTGCAGTACAGATGGAGTTAAGATGAAATTCAACCGCCAACTGAGTCACTCCAACCAAGCCCACTTGAAAACTACCTTGCAGAAATAACTTGTAGAGTATGAGAAACTGGGAAGTACCAACCGCGTGCATTCTTCCAGGAGTTTTTAACACCCATATAACGTCAACCTTACCCTCCTTACCTTAGTCTTTTCTCTTGTCTTCACTTCCTGGTACCAATATTAAGGCTCTTACAATTTTCCCAACCTAACCCTACGACCATTGCTAGAAATCCAGGCTAGCGAATAAGCTCTCCTAGTTTCCTAAGACCCAGCTGTTGATTTCACATTGAGGCTTTTAAAGTCCGAACCCGATGCCAAGTCAGATAACAGGTATCTCTTGCTAGAACTCTGAAATTTCGAGCCATGGATGTATGCTGTGTTGCTGAGACACGTATACGGAACCCGAACCTGCCTATTCACTAGAAGTCGCCTGATCAATGCAGTAAGTCTAAGGAATTCACTTTACGATTGTCCCTAAAGGCAGTGACAAGCTCTTGTGGACTTGCTAGTGAAGGTATAGCAGTAGGTTATAGAACATAAAGCATACTTCTTGACTAGAAACTATTCAATAGCCGTCTGTGTTCTGTTCAACTATATAGATCTGTAAGAATTAAGAAAGGTCGTGAGACTTGCCGATATTTTCGTAATATCCGCCTACACAATCACCGATTTCAGTTTGGATGATACAAAAGATGGATTCTATCAGGAGCTGTAAATTTTGCTACAGAAATCCAAACGTTCAAACACAGCCATAACAACAGGTAACGTTAGCAAACAAATAAGAAAACTGAACCACTTGGAAGGCTATGTGCGGAATCCCATACTAACAAACGGATGGTAGTGATCATTTGTTTCCACTTTATTCTGATAATCACGTGTTTCTGGCCAGGACTATTGGCAAGCATGAGGAGAGATACTGTCTCGCATGACGTCTACTGACATGAAACCAAAGATGAACATAAATAGATCAAATTGCTATGGCTCATCGTTGGAAAAGACTACTGCTTTTCCCACAGTATCTTCTTGCACTCCGGTCACGCGTTGATACAGGTATATGTATATCTGTGACTTGTTGGTTGCAAGGAGCGGACAGCAGGGAAACCATGTGCTCGATTCGAAGATGAGAGCGCCAAGTGTATATCTGAATATGGTAACCATTCTCTTCCTGTTGAAGCCGGGGGTAATATTCACTACTGTAGAAACAACAGTGAAAACAGTAGGTAACCTATATCAAAATTTTAGCAGCAGCCAGCGGATTTCCGAAGCTTCATCCGAACCCACTGATGTGACAAAAAACTGTTTCCAGCTAGCTGTGGCCATTACAAGGAGCGGAAGTAGTCGATGTGTACCATATTCATTGACTGACCTAAAGGCACCATTCATCTATGTTGACCGATAGGTATTGTGGTAATGCCTGAATACAAGCAAGTATGTTATACCAATCAAAGCTGTCTACTCAACCTCACACAACCGGGTCAGGGCGTATGGAGAGTTTTCATCCAAATTGACAACAACTAATGGTGTCCGCTGTTACCGTTCCCACTTAGCTTCGCTATAGATTTACTAATGGACATAACCTGAAATACCTCTGACTCCACAATGATTGATCTACTCCCTGGAGGGCATCTAGCTGTCTTAGAATATGCAGATGAAATTCTCATCCAAGACTAGTATGGAAGCAAAACAAAAATCCTTCCGAACGCTCTGAGCAAAAAGCTGAGTATGTTTGATATGCGTTTAGTACATGTCCAATGGAAGGCAGTGCTTCAGGACTGGACTGTTACTTCTCCCAGTTTAAGGAAAGGGAGTGAAGTAGTAGAATCCGTTGATCATTTCATCTACTTGGGGAGTTGCATCAGCTCAAATTGGTTGGTCGCCGACGGAATGTCAGCTCAAACGACAAGCTCACAGGCCACTGTCAACTGACATCCAGGAGTGCTATTTTTGCCTTTGGGCTTGACGGTATTCTTACGCACGCAAGACCGTGAGATTTGGCAATGAAATCTACGGAAACGCGTGGGGTAAATTATGAAGACTCATCGTAGTGGTTTAGTAAGTATCTATAATTATGCCTGACGAACGCAGAACACGTCCGTAGCCTAGGATGGGTTAGCGAAGCTTTTTATTTGATTTGACGAAAGAGGCGATCATTGAAAGCTTCGATGTGTAGTTTAGATTGAGGTTTCAGGACACCAGAAATGCTATTCTGGGAAGTGGTAGGACGAACTTCAACGAATAGTTGTTCCCACCAGTAAAGCTTGATGAGTCATTGTTATACGCAAATGTGACCATCATGTCAATGTAACAGTAACTTGTTGGTCATCACACACGTAACAGCCAATGCTTAGATCCTGATTTGTATGTAATAATTATTTCTGTATTCAAAGACTATATTTAAAGAAGTTGTAGAATTCAGCGTTCATACTAGCAAGATTTTAAATACTGATTTTCCTGACATTGATTCATCCAGTTTAGCAGGTAAGTAGACACTTGCTGGATTACAAGTGATGTAATTGTTGACTGACTCATCTGTCTCTCCTAGACAAATAAATGAAAGTGCTTAGTCTGCTTTTGTTTACTGCTACTAACATCTCTGTTCTCAATCATTGCGTAAGGTTGATCAGCTTACATTTTGATGGCTTTTTGTCATGCGTAACTTTCTGAGATGCATTCTTCTGTACCCATTTTTAAACCCCTTCATATTTGCTGGTGTTTGAAAAGCAACCGTCATAAAATTGGTATGGTTCATTTCTTAGCATGCAAATCCATGAGTTCAGTTAAGTTCCCTGTAATTCTCAACGGTGACCGGTATATGTTCAAATTTGTGTTAAGGTTGGTCCTCCGAGTCGAGTTGTCTTTGTGTCTAAAGTTCATGTAGGCAAGATTTCTAGGTACTTATTAGCTGCTTTTTAAAAGTAGTTTGCTACTGTCTTACCTGACCACGACTAGTGTCCGTGCATGGTTATGACTTATCTTCTACAGTGATTTTTCTTACCACCAGCTATTTGTACATGTATGCTCTTTAGTTTTTACCTAACAGATTGAGTATTATTTACAAGTTTTCACCTGTATTTTACAGATTTGAGAAGTACCAAAGTGGAACTTAGCGTGTTATTCACTCATGTACTATGCACTTTCCAGAAAATTGACACAAAACTGGCTTTTAATCTGTTTTATCTCTGGTGGTTTTCAGCTGCTTATTCAACGTCACTATCACAGCCAAAAAAAGAAACAGAGGTTAGGAATATTGAAGCATTTAAATGACAGATTGCGGTTCTATTTTCCATTCAAACCTCATAAAAAAGTACTACTAGTGAGGGGAACTGGTGTTCTTACTAAATTAGAGATTACTGGGAGTTCATTAAAATATAAACTGGACTTGATAAAATTTATAACTTCTGGTGGTTTTTTCATGAAGTTTGCCAGTTCCTTTTTCACACCATTCTTGATAGCCATATTAAAGTTAGACAACTACAACGTATTTTCTGGTCAGTCCGTTAGTTGTTCATCACAGCTATCAGTTTTTCCCCTGTTGTTTTTAGCTTTGATAAAGACAGCCTCGAAATATTCATATTCTGCTTCATGTCCACATTCCTTAATTACCATAAGTTTTATGCATATTATCCAATCGTACTGTTAACGTTTTAATCTAGGACAAGAACGATATCACAGTTTGGCCCCTATGTATTACAGGGGAGCTCAAGCCGCTGTTGTAGTTTACGACATAACAAACTCGAGTTCCTTTGAGCGCGCTAAATCATGGGTTAATGAACTCAAGGAAAAGGCCAATACTCCCCAAGTGATAGCACTTGCTGGAAACAAGGTGGATCTTGAGGGACAGAGGGCAGTTTCCTTTGAAGTAAGATGTTAATCGTTTTTTATTTTATGCGTTTCTGACCTATCCATGACCTTTAATGTCAACCCCACTTCACGAAACAGCATGTCTGGTTCCCTGAAACCACACTCGAAACTTCATATTAAAGCTTTCAATGGTCATAGCTTCCATCAAATCAAATAATAAGCTTCGTTACTCGAAACTCTGACGTTTTCCTTCTTCCTCTCTTGTCGTGATTATCTACCACTTTTTCGGAGTTGTGCATCACTAGTTTAAGCCATTCACTTTTGACCAGTAGGTCACGGGTTCGAACCCAACCCCATCCCACCTACCGATATATATTCAGACGCCTAGATCAAGGTGGGTGGAATAAAATCTTAACCCTGAGTTGATTACTCATTAGTTGAGCAATGAAACCAATGAGTTACGTTCTCATGTCTCCTAACAATAGATTTGTGGTCTGCGCTTTCTATTGAGTAATGTTATTAGGTTTTATTCAACGTCTTGTAATCAAAGCTATTTTCTTTACAAAATTTTTCAGGAGGCACAGGAATACGCTAATCAAAATCGTTTACTGTTCATGGAGACGTCAGCTAAGATGGCGACTAATGTAACGGAGCTATTCACTGCTATAGGTAAATAATTTTCATGGTTTTTTCACAAGTTCATTGATAATGAAAGAAAAGACTATCTCACTGCTGTTACGTTTCCACTCACAACTGTTAGTAATTGTGAATTCTCTCAGTTTTGACTCATCTTTGGGCTTACATCTTTTGTATTCTACTTCTCATCGTGACTTCCACTCTTCCACGGATTTCTAAGCGGCGTTATCTTTCCATTATGCATTCACTATGACTCATTAATTGTTTTAAAGTGGCTAATGACTGCAAGTACATGTAGCAGTCATCGGCTAAACGAGACCATAGAACAGTCAACCTGACTAAGCTCCTACACTTTGGGTCCTGATTTTTCGATATAGTTTTTGACTTCATTGATAAGCGTAGATTTATAAGACCTTCATTGTAATTCAAGTTTTATCAACTCTTACGAAATTCGTTAGATTTCTTAAAATTGTGACTGTATTCTACATGAAAGTTACTTTGCTTTACACCTAAATTACCATTTATGGAATATGAAGGCCATTGTTGTTATGATTTGCTGCAACTTTCTTGATTTGTAGGATAAATAACCATAGTAACAGTCCCGAGTACAACCATCTGTCATGTTTATTCACATTTGAGTTTTGAGGTATGATTTATCTTTTATTTTAATCAACATTAGTTTATCAGTAAGTTCACCACTTGCAAGAACCTCTTAAATGCAGTTGGTAGTGTATATTTCGTATTCTGATTAAGATGAAGTTCTGAACCACATATAGCAGTCTTCAAACCTACTCTAGTTTGTTTCTCAAATGTGAACCAGGATCATTTACTGGATATCGTAGTGGACACGTCTTATTGCTCAAACTAAGATAGAATTATGACGTAACAATGCCCTAGGTTTATTCTTATGGTATCGGGAGTGTAGTTCACTGCCTCGTATACATAACTAATAGATTATTGAACTGCACTTTCCACATGATTGATTATGAACTTTTCGTATGGCAACGACAACTGCCTCTTTGTGTAAACTATAATACTTAATGAAAGACTTGAACCGAAGGCTTTTGTGACTAAGTGTTTTACCTACACATATTGATATTTCATATTTAAATAGGGAAATAACAAGAAGTTCCTAACGAAGTGTATCTTTTTATGTCAATATTTCGTATTCTACATGGCATGATTTTCTGAACTGCTATTAGACTTGGAAACTGAACTATGCGTAGATTTTAGTCATTCTGTTGCAATTATACATTTTGTTCACGAGTGCAGAATTAAATGTTTTTTTTGTATCAGTGGTCTTCGTGTTTTCAACTATTGCGCAGTTAACCATGATAAAAACTACTGTAGCGAAACCCAACGTAAGACATAATGGAAGGTTCGGATATCGTTTTTCTTTTCTCTCGGCAACATCCGCGCTGATCTATAAATTTCACATATGACTATTGACCAGCAATTGGTTATTTCAAATTGTATTTATGGTACAATTATCTCAGCTGAATGGTTTAATTTTAAACCTGTATGCTCCATTTTCATCCTTTTCTCACAAACGGCTTGAAAAAGTGAGGTCTTCAATAGCCTATCATTCTTTTTTGGCTAACTTGAATCCAGTTACTTACACTGTATATCTTTATTTATTCTGCATGGCTCTGTGTTTTTCAGTCTGGTTTAAATACTTGATCTCTTATCATATATCTTTTCATTCTTTTCTGTGGACAATGGCTCATTAATGTTATGCACTTGCCTTGCAATTAGTAAGTCCCGTGTTTTTGAACCTTGCTCCTCATACTGAAGTTTGGATAGCTAAATGGTATCATTCGTTCAAAATAATTAGTGTTCATAAAAGTATCCTAACAAAATCATTGTTCATATATTTATCAGTGTGCTTATTGTTTAGTAATTTATGGGCTTATAAAAGCCCCCTCGCACACTTCTTCCCTCAATTCATTCCAAGAATATCAACCTAAAATACAGGTTTTCTCTAGGTTGCACTTATTATTTGGTAGTTAGTTAGTGGTCGGGTGATGAGTTTTCATTTCAAAATACTTTGTATGGACGTTTAGTAGCTTGCTATGTAATTCATATATTTTCCTCTTTCATATATATGTGTAAATTTATTTGTTGTAGCCCAAAATTTACCTCATGATGCAGAGCCATCTAGACCATCTGGGGGACAACAACTTACTCAAGGCAATTCACCTTCACAGCCTAAACAATGCTGTAGATAATCTTGATTTACCTATCTGGATTTTTTCATCGTAAATAATGCGGGTGTAGTGTGTCACCCATCTTCCCAGTTCAGTTCTCCGGTCTCCCGCATCATCATTTTGCGTTTGTTCAGGCTGTTTTTGATTAATGACTGCTTTGTGTTCATGCAAGTTGCGATTTTCTTATTTTTAATCTTCCTATGTAGTTCGTTGTAATCCCCTCAGAAGAACAAGTGACCTAAATCATCAGATTTTGAACTTGAACTGTCACTCTGCCACTATTTCTATCTAATATTATAAACACTTTATTTGCATCTGATTTACATAACTGAGTTGCTCGATAATTTATCATTCACAATGTTGTTTTTTGACTCATTAATGGTTGTTTATGTAATTTTACTATTGTTTTTCTTTTTTCATCAATGAAATGTTTATCACATTCATTCCACTTGCTGGCTTATATGACGTCATTTGTTCTGTTATTGTTATTCTTTTCAATACTTAATCACTATATTATCTTTCTTCGATTGTACCCCCATGCTCTCTCTCTCTCTATACATACACACACAAATTTCTCTGCGTTACAGTGTTCTTACATCTATTGTAGCTGTGTTGAATATTGATTTCTTCGCTTACGCGTAGAACAAAAAACAAGGTTTTTTTTTGTAGAGATTCGTATCATTTCGAAGGGGAAAATTATCGGTGACTATTCTACGTCAATACTTCACCCATTACGCCCTATTTGACCATTTCATTAGGACTCCTTGTTTTGGGCAAAATGTGTTGGAGACCTCCTTTAATCTTATGACTTCGTGATTTGTTTTTTTAATTATCTCTTCTATGCGCAATCTGCTGTACAATAATATCGTGTTACCCATTTACAACGTGTTTCTTTTGATTTTCAGTAGTTTGTGGAATTGTTAGTCTCTGGAATATAGTCTGTATGTCAGTTATTGGATTCATGTGATTGTTGATATTCTTTTTAAAGATAATTCGTTCCAACTGATATACTATAGCTAGATTACCTTGTTTTTAAGTATATTAGATTACATGAGAGCTGGGAGTGGAGTCTTAATGCAATAACTGGGAGGAAGTTACTTATATTGATGTACTCCATCGTACCGATCAGCTTCCTAATTTCTCGGAATTCAGACAAAGTGGTAACTAAAAAGAGAAGGAACATTTGCTATGTTTCTATATTCCTATTGATCGCAGTTCGATCATTAACGATGTGGTGCTGGTATCTGTTTTTTTTTTGCAGTAGCCGATGGAAATTTGGTGTTTTTATGTTGGGATACTCTTCGCAGCTATTTTAGTTCCGCAGCTCATTACTTGTCAGTATTGTTTTTTTATATGATGCAGTAAGCATCTACCGAGGTTCAGGCAACCAGGAAGTATCATTAACCTTCACGCAACAGGTGTTGCTCGTTGCCTACTGCACGAACTTGCACAATGTTGGTCAGTGTATTTCGACTCGACCGGCGATACCATGATCTTATTTAAAGTTAGTGCAAAAACTAGTTGGAATTCTTGGTCAGACGTGTGCACTCCGTCATCACTTAGGTCTTGAAAATCCTCATCTATCTTATATTTCATTCTGACTCCTCTCACACAGTTTGATTTTGCTCTTTAAGGTCATTATTTATCTCTTCACTTTGCATTTTGTTGTGAAGCGTTGCAACTTGAAATGATCCACTTCTGTACCAGGTTATACGTTGATTTTTCTTTTTGTTAACGATTATTAATAATAACACAATCAGTGGCAAATAAAAACACTTCCTTATACATAGTTAATATATGTTTATAGCAACAAATTCGTTCCTGAGTTCTATTTACCAACCCTAGTTACGCTTAAAAGAAGCGGAGATAGTCACTTTTTCTCATGAGTTTGTAGAGTATAGTTGTGTCTTTTCACCGTACTACTACTCAGGGCTTCCATTTGAAAGATCAGTAGTTCAAGGTGTGAGATGTGCGTAAATCAAAGTCTCCTCCATTCGCACTGTAGTTTTCAATCTTATTATTTTTTTAAGATGAGATATTCACATCCGACTTTTTAAAAGTTATGTCTGATCATCCTCCCATATCTCTATAATACCGTCATATTTTATTCGGTTCACTGTACACGTGATATCGTATTGTTTTTAAGCCTAGTGTCCTAAAATATCCGTATTGAAATTTTCGACTATCGTCTAAAAAACATCCTTTTATTTTCACTTTGCATTTGGTTGATTTGGAGCATGCAGACGGTTTTGTTCTAGAAGACACCCACAGTTTGATCAACAGCTTTTTCAATGACAGCAAATTCACAATGAAGAAGGAGTCAAATAACCAACTACCATTCCTGGATGTTCTAGTGAATACAACGAATACGGGGAAGCTGGAAACCCAAGCGTATAGGAAGCCAACACACGCTGACCAAATCCTCAACTACAGTAGCAGCAACGCACAAGATCAGTTGCGTGCAGATTCTATTCAAAAGAGCGAGAACACACTGCTGTACAACAACGGAGAAACGAAGAGAATTACTTGATGTCCATCGTAAAGAAGAACGACTACCCACGAAACTTTGTCAGAAGATGCCTATCCCGTACATCATCAACTACAAAGTCATCGACGGAAATCAATAAACGCATCATCCTACCATGCATAAAGAATATATCAGACCGAACGATGCAACAAATAAAGATGACAAACCGAATATCATTTACAGAATCAACTGCAATAACTGCAGTTAACACTACATTGGACAAAGTGGTCGCCCTCTTCACCTTCGTCTACATGAACACCAAATGGCTATTAAACGTCACGACATTTCGTCACTCATTTCAATGCATGTGGATAGTTATGGACATGAATTCAATTTCGACAATTTGGAAATTTTGGACAGAGGAAACACAAAAAGTATCAGAGAATTTCTAGAAGCTTGACATTCAGGTCAATCAGCAACCAACAGATGTATAGACATAAACGAAAGGTCTGAGGTCAAGCAAAGAGAAAACTGGCGGAAATCTGTACAGTCAATGACACAACAATCGAAGGAAATAACCAATCACAGACCACTTTGTCAAGGCAAGCTACTAAATCACTCACGGAGAGATATTGACAGCTCACTTCATGCTGAAGTTAGTGATGATGTCTTCTAGAAAGACAATGAAAGCTCCCCACGATTAAACAGCCCAGCGCAGAGAACACTGCAACCGAGACTAATAATCTTGTTTTGGCTAAGTTTTTGTGCTCTGTTATTCTAGTCGACCCTGGTCGACTACTTTGACCTATGTATTTGACCTAGTAATCATTGCGAGGGATTTGGTAAACCATATTATTTTGCTGAATTGCATCGATAGGATCTTTTAACCTACAAAGCTTGTTTCTAAGCGAGTTTGTTCGATATTACAAAATTCAGTACCAATTCTTTTTTCAGTGATATAAGTAGCAGTACAGTTAATCTTCAGACTTATTTTAAAATCTGAACTAAGTGGGTTAGGAGATGTATAACTTAAACTGTCGGTCTATACTTATTTTGTCTGACGGATAATGGTAAGCTTGCTCTGATACAGAAGCTAACGTTCACGATGAGTGACTTATCACTACTAATACAGGGTCAAATAACGCAGATGTCTGCATAGCTAGTAGGAAAACCTCTTCCGTAGAGATATGTTCATTGATTAGGTGCTGTGGCTCAGTGGTTTTGGCGACGACTATCAACTAGTGGGTTACGGGCTCGAGACTCACTCCACCTACCGGGGTTTGGGCAGCCAAGTAGTATCACTAGCGCTCACACAATAGTTGTGGCTCGTTGCCTACTGCACGGATGTGCCCTAGGTCTCTGAGTGCATTACATTTGGTCATTTATTCAACAGAAAGTAGATGCAGAATACAGTATCTTTGAAACACAAAAGTGAATAACACCGCAAAACATAAATACCACTACTGAGTAGGAAAAGGGTCCAGAGTAGTATAACTGATCGACTTCTGTCGTCGAGAAATTAGTAAAGGTTTGATCCATCTATCAGTACCATACACGTGCGAGGAATTAATAGGATTCTCGTGTTACTTTGAAGACGACTCTAGTGACAACTGAAATAAACAATTCAGTTTAAGTATTTATTATGGAATGCTTATTTTTCATAAATTGTGGGGCAAAATCGATTATTCCAGTTATTTGGGTGATCTTAAGAGTCATTCAAATGTTCGATACTTTTATACTCTAGTGTAGGAGTTGTAAACATTGGTAGTGTTAAAGGCTTTTCTGCGATCATAAACTGTATGCAACACAAAGTGTGCCACTTTATCGCCAATTGGTTATCCACTATAGTAATCTCCATTATTTTTTCAATAGTTGCCTACAAAAAGGTTTTTTAGCATTCAGGAACGACGAGAAATTTCAGAGATCAAATCTTTCTTGATGTTGTCATTCTGTATAGTTGCACAATCATGTTTTCATTTGTTTTAACTGCTTGACAGTGTATTGTTGGTTAGTAGGATAGGATTAGGTTAATAACTTGGGATACAATTTTGTTTCTTCAGACTGAAATAGATAACATGAGATTTATAGAAAGTGATAAGGGTATTATGGAGTTCAATCAAGTAGAAAATATTTCTGTGTGCGAAGTAGAGCAGTTGAATGCTCACCTGATATCTGGAAGGGGTGGAAAAATATTGCAACGGTTTCGTGTCATTTGTTTACCTGATTATTACATTAAGAGGAATAACCGAGTTCATCGACATTCTCTTTTGTGCATTAGGAAATTTCATTGTTGACGTTGACATTTCAGTGCAAATGAATTCATCTCAGTCTTATTGTCTTCAAGTTCCTCATAAATGCAGCTTTATAAATTGATATGGAATATAGAACTTATGATTTTTGTTATTATAACATTTGATGTCACCTCATTCCGTAGACGAATTTAGCTATTCAGGCATCATGAATATAATTGTGATAAGGTTGGAGTTACCCTGAGGTACACAGCATCAGTCTGTGACTTGCTGATACACTACCCTATTGGTTACGTTACGACGAT